CCGCAGGCGCGATCAAGTCTTGAGCCAACATAAGTTGGCATGTCATGACTCACCTAAGTGATCACAGGAAAGTGTATTTTTAACACAGACAGACATACATACATACATACATACATACATGCATACCTGCATACATACATACATAAATACATACATACATACATACATACATACATGCACACACATGTGTATGTAAAAATGAACACACATGTGACAACCGATCAGTATACATGCATGCATACATGATGCCCCAGCACGTGCCCATAGAGCTTCACAATTTGCACGTGTACCCGTACATCGAGAGGACTTTCACGTCCGCACAGGTATGGCCAGTGTGCGGCATGTGCAACGACCATCAACTTCAAGGCGTGTGTGGAAGGCTGAGCCTGCTTCTGAAATTGGGGGGGCAAGGGATGCATCCTACGACCTTGGTGGTACAGCCCAAGAAGCTGCTGACTCTTGGGCACATCCACTGTTTTCGGATGTTTTCGGCGCCTTTTGCCTCGTTTGACAACTGTCGTCAAGCAACAGCGAGCCCTGTAACGTTAGACCCGCCTTGCCGCCTAGATTTCAAGAGCAGACCATGGCATGTTCAGTTGACTTTTGCAAATGGATGCGTTCATTGTGAGATACTTCAATGGATTGCTTTCGCCGACCGCAGCCTCAGCAGGCTCAGAGCGGGTGTCAAACCTTTCCTGCTCGTTTCCATTTGAAAATTCTACTTTTCCTGGCTAAAGCATTCCTTTTCTCGATGCGTGACTCGTTTCACGGCCAGAGGCTGTGTGTCAAGGGCTCAGCCAAGGGATCTCAGCGGCCTCGGGGAAGACGGCTGCTGATGCTAAGGTCCTGGCCCTCCTATTGCTTTTGGTCAGAGGGCAGTCAGATGCCTGCCAGGACTGCACTATGTCATTAAAAAGGCAATAGGGGAATTCTTGCAGATCATCTTTTTTTGCCAGGCGGACCCGCGATGTGCTGCCTCGCAGGATGTTGATAGAGTTGAGGCTGACTAGCTTCACTGTGATTCACTTATCTTCGCTTGGCGTTCTCCGCCTTCGCTGGCCAGGCTTCCGACCTCCTACAAACTGAAGCCTCCCGAAGAGTAGTGCGAATCGATTCACAGGCAACTCCATGTGGTGCAAGTCTAGAGAGGAACTCACAGCATGAATCAGACGCTTGAAACCTGGTGGCTGGCGTTTGCAGGGCGACTCGCAGATTGAAGAGGAGGCTAGACCTAGACATGCAGCTAGCTCTGCTGGTTCGGCGAGCACCAGTAGTAAGCCGGCTGGGGCCCTGCTGCCACAAAACATGTGCAACAATGCTTGGAAACACCTCGCAGTGGACGTATCCTCCATGCTTAGGCGAAGACAGCAGCAAGCAAGGCACCATTCTGCCATGCTCGTTTAGTTTAGCACAGGGTTGTCCTGTACTGTACCTGTTGGAGCAGCAGACTGGGAAAACCATGCTGTCCACTGGCGGCTAGGTTGGCATCAACCTCTCCGTGAAATGGATGAAGCAACCGTTGCCTGTCAGTCAGGCTCATTCTGAGCTGAGCTGCACGGTTATTGCGTGTTGGGGGCTAACCCAATTCTTAACCATGAGTCCTGTGGATGGCCAAGGAGGGTTGGCTTAGCTTGGGGCGTAAATTTCAGGAAACACAAGTAGGGATAATGACAGCCAGAAATGCAAAAGCCATACGGCCCATTGGGTTGCGCATCGAAGTTATTGTATACATATATATATATACATATATGTATATAGATATACACTTTTTTTGTTTTTTTCTGGGGGAGGGGGGTGGCGGGTCCTCACGAAAGGTAGTCAATCACGTCAGACAGGAATCACCCATCTAAACGGCTGTCTTGCAAGGCACAACAAAAGCTTGCTGAGAACATCTGTTTTTCGCCTGAGCTAACCCATTCGGCCCACGTAAAAAGCTGTCATCAGCAGCATTGTGGACTCTGCTCTTTTGTGTCGATCCTGCTGCTGCATGATATGCGCCACTCTGATTTTGAATCGCTGCGCTTTTGCGCGTTGCTTGCAGGCAGTTGCTGCTGTACCACGGATACAGGACAGAAGCGTTGCCTGTGCTTGTGCTAATGACGTGAGCTCGGGCAGAGGAATATTTGGGCTTGTCACGCCCAATCGAGCGCGTCCGGAACCCATCTTGGAATGTGTGACAACAGGCCACGCAGTCATGATTATGCCTAGGTCAAGACTTACGACCTCGCGCCGTCAAACCGTGAGATTGTTGAGGACTTTGAATTCGCAAAGATTGATGTTGGGTGCTGTTCTTGGCCTGAGATTAAGACCGCAGCGCGGAATATGCAACACGTGCGAAGACGTGCCAACATGTTTAGCTGCTGACCTTGCGCGTTCCAGAGTCGCCCAAGTGCGAAGGAGCTGGTTCGCCAATCTAGTAAGACCGATGGTTCCAGCATTGTGAACATCAAAGAGCTGGTCATTGGAATTGGGAACAAGGAGCGCGGTGCCCCTTTTGTAGTTACGAGCCGCTGCGGCCCCAAGTAGCATCACAGATGCTTGTGCAAGATGGAGTTGGAGGGACCGGCATGATTGAAGCTAGCTCTTGCGTACCCGCACATGTAGGATTAGGACTTGTGTGAATGTGAATTTCTGCTGATGTGGCGATGCTTCAAGAGAGGGGTCCAACGTATTGTGTGGAAATGATCTGCAATGTGATCTTTGTAGACTGAATTCTGGAACCCTAAACCCTTAACCTTTGGATCCCAAAATACGACAACCCTTATTATGGTGATCCCCAATAAAGTACCCTGAATGTATATGAACCCCACTTTCGGCAGGAGCTCCCGTATGTTGACATGGACTGGCTCCGAAGTGTTGCGGATGATTTCAAAGGCAGCTGAGCAGGGCTGAACAATGCGCAGTTCACGGGCATGCGAGGGGATACCATATGGGGAAAATGGAGCGGAAAATGGAGCAGAACATGGAAACTATCGCGCTGTTTAGGGGTTCAGGTTTAGGGTTTAGGCTATATATATATGTATATATATATAGGCACACACCCCAATACTAGAGAATAACATCGAAAAAAACAATTGGACAATGAAATGGAAACCAGGTTCCCTGGCGTAGGTTAGGATGATGCAATGGATTGCATATAGGTCGTAGCCGTGATGTTGGTATCATGTGCCCGCAGAAGTTGTGGATTGTTGGTCGCACGTAGTTCAGTGTGCGTTGGTGTGCATGTCAAAACACTTCTTGTTGAAGAGAGGCTCTATACATATTGCGATTGGCAATGAGCCAGACCGAAGTGGCGTCCACTCAGCCTGGCCCCCAGGAATACGACGCAGAAGTGCTCAGAAATTTTGATGCGGCGCGTTGCCTTCAGGATCGCGTGGTTGAAGTCATCAAAGCTATTAGAGCAGAAATTCCGGAAGCACAAGCGCCTATGCTCAATATTAGGTCCGCTGCAGCGTGTGAGTTCCCCTGCAGTAGGCTAGACTTGGATGTCTTGATATCCGAGCAATTGACAGCAAAGAAGTGTCATTGAGGTGACCGTTCCCTTCGCATATTCGATTATGCACAGGAGTCATCCAGTGCAGAAGTCCAAGCTAGAGGCAGAGTTCATCGAAAAGTGCCGTGCCTGATATTCATAGCGGGCCTGGGTTGGGAGCTGTTGGGCAGAAAGTTGACCTCAGGTATAAAGACGTCCTGCCGCTTCTGGATTACTTTACCATCAACATCTATCCATTCCTGAGCTGTGGTGTTCGTGGAGTGGCAATGGAGAACCTCACTGGTCCCGACATGAACTTTTTGAATGACCAGATCTCTGCACTTCGCAGCTTAGCTTGGACAGCTCAGAGGACCCCGAGTGGTGGGGTCTAGAGTCTACAGCCTAGAAAGGTTTGCAGGCTTGATCCTTGCACATCAGGCATTGCTCTGGATCGTGATTTCCCTCACAACAACTTGCCTTTGGCCATTGGCGGCTTGTTTCAACAGAACGGGCGCAGTGACGCTGTGTGCTGTGAGCCTGATGAAGCCCATGTGGCTTTGCTTCTGCACATGATTGGTAGGTGAAACTGGATGGCCAACATGTGGGGCTGCGCGTGCCTTCCCCTACGCGTATGCCACTCTCGACTATGCAAACCGTTTTGTGAGGAACGTAGCTCGATGGACGCTGGGTCTGCAAGGCTGGTTCCGCAGCGAAACATCGAGTATGTAGCGCTCCCGGCAACTGTTCCGTCCCATGATTTTTGGAAGCGTGTTCTGAAACGTTCCCCGACAATTTGAAAAGGAGATCACGCACACATCATGGGATTGGATTATTCTGAGGATGGAGTCTGCCAAGTCCGACGGCCGCATCATTTCGGGCCAGCTCTTCACTGCTTTTGATGAAGAGACCAAGGGCACACGCAGCTTGGCATTCTTGGCTAAGCTGCCCTGCCTGTTTAAACAGGTTTCAGCTGACACCGAAGTCAGTTTTGGGAAGGTGGGTTCTAGAGTCCACACATCGTTGGTTATTCGGGGAAGTTCAACCTTGGGGTACTGTGACGCATACGGTTGACGATGCTACTCATCATGTGTGGACGCTTCTGCCCTCGACTGTTGTTCTTGATCACCTCTCTCTCTCTCTCTCTCTCTCTCTCTCTCGGCCGCCTCCCAGGACCCAGTGAAAGATACTATGGAATCTTGACGTCGAAAGGGGAGGTCAAGACTGAATATTCTTGCGTTAGCAACGCCACAGTGCCTCGACAAGCAGTCAGTTCAGGTGAAGGCTTCGGACGTTGAAGGTAACCTGTTGCATGATTGTATCAAGTGCGCAGTGGACTGAAGAGGGCAATGGAACACAAGCAGAACTTCAGCAGACTGCAGGAGCCTTCGCAAGCGTGGCTGGAGGAGCTGCTTGGGCTTCTGTCCAACTCTGCCAAAGAATCCAGCCTAAGTCAATTGGATGTGTCAATTTGAATGGAGATCGAACATGGGAGAGTTTCGGGGAACTATGTCGATAAAGGAATAACAAGAAGAAACAACACGCAAGTTGAAATACTTGCCCTTCAGCTGTGAGTAGTACGGGCCTGCCTGAGCGCGCTTTAAAGTGGGCAGGAGCTGTATCCTGACTGCGAAAGTGACTCGCTTGCAGTGCCTGCCGCTGTGAGCTTTACTTGCTGTGCGTAATCGGCAATTATTGAGGTGACTTGGACTGGATGGTCAAGAACTTCGACAATCCATACTTGCAGGAGAAATTTGTTACCTAACTGAACATGCTTTGGGTGGTGTATCCGGCCCAATGCAAGTTTGCAGTGTGCTTGCCTCCAAGGCTAACAGGGTCCAGGCCTTACTAGTGATTGCATGTGCGGGTGGGTACCATCGCGTTGTTGCGGAGCGTGATGCTTGACTTGGAGCACGGGATAATGGCAATCGGCTTAGGACATGGATGGTTCGCTGTGCTCCTTCCAGCAGTACCTATATGACCGCTGGGCAACTTGCCCCCCTGTTGCACGAATTCCTGGCGACTTTGTGCCAGTGGAGTCGCCGCTTTGCTGAATGGCTTGACATGACCCTCAAGGGGGACAGCAGCTTCACCCGGCTTTCAGGGGCCTGACTAATTTCCAGTAATGGAGAATACAATGGGAAACAGCATGGACAATTTTAACGGAAAGTGGGGTTATCTAGGGATATCTAGGCATTAATAGGGTGTTTAATGCAGCGGTTGTGCAGCCACACGTGATACGTGTTCGGCAGGCATGTGGTCTATGCGAAGAAGGCTGCGCAGACAAAGTGCTGGAGCCAACGGTTGGCAGACAAGCTCCTTGTCAATTTTATACTAGGGATTATATTAGGATAATGGAAAAGAAAATGGAACTATTATAATGTATTGGAGTAGTATTAGGGTAGTTCTGCGAAACTACGGATGCCAGATTGCGTTGTTCCAGGGGGTCTCACTGGCAGCATGTGACTAGTCTTAGCGGAGGGTACTGCTGAGAACCAACAACTCAGCAGGGAAGGTATGACGCTGCTCCTCCCCACCCAGTCAGAATCATCTCCAGTAAATCGCTGGCTTGAGTCCTCGGCACTTTGGACAATGATATTGTGGGTATGCCAGCAGAAACGTGCAAAAAACAAGGAAGGGGGTCATTTTGGTCCCCCCAAAAACGGTCATTTTGGTCCCCCCAACCCGGACGCCCACGACTTTGGCCCGGACATGTCGCCCGGACGGCCCGGACACGTGGCCCGGACGGCCCGGACACGTGGCCCGGACAGCCCGGACGGCCCGGACAGGTGGCCCGGACGGCCCACATGTCGCCGCACAGCGGACATGCCGATGGCCCGGACATGTGGCTCGGACGGCCCTGAGGCCCCGCGGAGAGGTGGCCCGGACGGCCCGGACATGTCGCGTGGCTTGGACGGCCCGGACAGGTGGCCCGGACGCATGGACATGTGGCTTGGAAGGCGTGGCCCGGACGTGTGGCCCGGCCCGGACACGCAGCCCGGACAGGGCCCGGACACGTGGGTTAGGGGGGAGGACCCGACGGCCCTGAGGCCCGGACACGTGGCCAGTGCAGGAGTCCCTTTGTTTGCTGCAAGGGGATGGGCGGGGGGTTCGGATGGCTGATGTTTGAAGAAGTGTATGGCTCTGATTTTTTTCGCTTTAGGGGGGTGGGGGAGTGTAAAAGAGTT